AAAGCTATTTTTCCATCTGTATGCCTTGTTGTGCTCCATGAACTCTCACGCGACCCTCCTGCAGGCCGCTCTGGGGCTCTGTGGGAGGGTGGTAAGGGGCAGGAAGGAAGGGAGAGCCAGAAAATTAAAAAAATGCTGCGAACACCGGACGGCAAGCAACTTTATAATAGTAGATATACCTGAAATGAAATTTCGGATATAGGGACGGGTTTGATGAGTCTGGTGCGGATCTGACGTCAAGTCAATTCCAGCCTTTAAGTATCGGAAAATTGGAAAAAAAAGGTGACGTGTTCGTCTAAAAATACAACAATAATATGCACTGCGCTACGATGTAATTAACGTGATTGGATACACAGGAACGAAATATTTCTAACTTTTCTTTTTATGAAGCAACAAGTTGGCCGAAAAAGAACGCATAAATTCGAGTAAATATTCCAAAACACAGCCATGCTTCGTTTATCCAAGGATTTGCCGTTAACAAAATGACTCAAGCGCTCGTCCAGGTTAGTTTTGCAATGTAGACACGAAAAAGGAGGAGAAATTATGCATATAAATATTTGTACACCTCATTTATTTTTTAAGGATGAATATAAGATAAAATGATAGTAATTATCATTAAAAGCTAGAATAAACGGAGTCGTTTCGTGCCTTTTTTAAAGATTGCTAAATCGAGTTCAACGTATACACTTTTATGCACAGTGATCAGTTTTTAAAGATGAGCTTATATAGGTAAAGAATCACATGAACATCTTACAGTGAATATGCATTTTTCAGCATTTTCCGTTGTTATAATGGAAGACGATGTTACCAATTTTGGCAATTTTTGAAAGCGAAACTCGAATGAGTATTTAAATGTAAACTCCTTGCTGGTGCCTCATAGCAAATAAATGAGTTATTTTCTAGCTAGACGCGTAAGTCTGACGAAAATGTACAAATTCTCCTGTTGCAGATTCACTTCTCTTCGAAAGTTGAATTCATTACGAAGGGATACACAATAATTTATGCAGAAAATAACGTCGTATCTGCAGAATATGATGGATTCACCAAACGAATTGTATTCATCGATTGAAAATATATAACCCTCAATCTCTAAAATGTCTGAGACTTTCCCGCTTTTGTTTGTAGATAGCTGCTGTAAATATAAGATTGTAAAATTCCAAAGCGATCAGTGCAAAGCTGTTTCCTGTTGATGAATCAAATAACCAACATCAAAATTGAATTAAAATTTCACACTCAATCTGCATAACAAAAGAGACAATGTCCTTGTGTCGTGAACCTTGTCGAAGGAGCACTTCATCTCGTCAATCTGGGCGAAACTGACAATTTCTAAATTATTGTCCACAACAAAGGGCTAACTCCAGGGATAGAAGCATAATTAAATCGGAAATATCTTATTGAATTTTTTTTTAATTGAAAACTGGAATGAAAAAAATTATTATTTTTTAATAAAACTTAATCCCACAAGTATATCCTATCAAATTTTTTTAAATATACAGTTTATAATAAATACAATATGTATCATTTAGTTCTTGCCCATGGAAGTGTTCAGTATGTTCTACACCCTCGAGACGCCTCCCTTTTTCATATAAATGCGGAACGGAGGCAAAACCGCTTGGTCACAAGCATATACTCGTATATAGCGGGGGGTCTCACACAGATCCCCCCAGGGCTGATCTTTGTTGGGCAACACAGCCTGTGGGGGTACAGGGATTCAAAGGCAAACAAGAGGCTCTTGAGGATTTTCTTGTGCATACGCATTGATTCGTTGAATCGATGCCTGCTGAGTGGCTTCTTCGCCGCTATATACGGGGTATATCACAGGTATATATTCGGTATATCGAAAGTGTATATATATCCCAACATCATCCCGGCTTCCTTTCAACTTTCTCAACTCATTTGAATTCAACGAGGTTGAGATTGCTCCTGCTGGTTCGTCACAACATATATAGTATATATAAGATGAGATCTCATCGCTTTTCTGCTGGAAATGAAAGAATGTTTTTCAATGGGATAAATATACAGCAAGCTATACGGTATTTAGGAATAGACTGGAACTGCATTTTTATTCTCATTTTTATGAAACGACAATCGACGAATTTTCTTCCACCCCAGCTAGATTTCTCCACATGAAACATGAAATGGAAAATGGATAAAAATATCGAGGTCTTTACGATGCAAGATCCACTTTATTCGAGGAGTAAAAACAAAATTCAGCAAAAAAAGTGAAGAAATGATTAAATCGTTGTACACGAAGAAAAGAGAATCTCGTCACAGTTTATTCAATTTTCTTCCGAATTTCATCCAATAAGTTTCTGGTTTTTATGATGACGTTGAGTTGGCATGCCTCAAGCAGGAATTTCAGTGGGGTTTTCAGGATTTTTTCCCCCAAAAGTTTCTCTAAATTTATTTTCCTGGATGCGGGAAAGAAGGGCCAAAATTTCAATATTCGTGCAGGATGAATAAGCTTTAATTTTTATCTTTAGATATTTGCAGCATAGAAACAAACTCTTCATATGTAGGAAAAATGACTGCTGGTTCAACGATGGAAATGCTGCATTTAAATGTAGGCAATTTTCAGCAGTGAAACTTCAAAAGCCGGAGGGGAAGTTCGTCTGGAATATTTCCCACATGCACGACACAGAAGCTATTCTTGAGACATTTGACCAGGGAAGTGACTTTTTCAGCAAAAAAGGAGCCTTCTGGATCAGCACTCAAAGCTGGAACCGATCGGGATGTTTCCGCGAACTTGGCTCGACTCGACTTCCTTTTCGAAAGTTCAAAATTGCAGTAGTTTAGTATGTAATTGAAATTTACGAAACTCCAAGAACTTTTTTTCACCCACGAAATAACGGACAAGGCACTTTTCGTGACCGAGCCTGCCTATGATTCGTGAGATAAACTTCGTCTGTATAATAACTTTATCATTCGTTCTTCCATAATTGAGCAATATTTCAAAATAATATTGTGCAGTGATAACATTGTAATTTCATTGATTGTGAATACACAGCTTGGCCCGGGAAATATGAACATAGATCGATGCTTTGAAACCAGATCATACTACCTTCAACCTAGAACATTGTAGTTGATAATCGTAACTCCGAACATTTTCCCCATTTTCATTTTTTTAAGTGCTTCAAAGAAGTCAGTGCGAAAAAATATTGTCGATTTGTGGGATACATCTTATTAAAAAAGTCGCATTTTATAATTTATAAATGATGGGAAGCTGAGTGTGGTCTCGAGAAAATGGTAAAGCAATTGAAATTAAAACAGTGCCGGCTTTCCATTTATAAATGTGAGCATGAAGACCATTTGAAATGCAACTTTTCGTTTTTGTGATGCATCATAATAAAGTATTGAAAATAAAGAATACAGTTTCCAAATCCCATTAAGAATAATTAGTAAATTTTTCATGAAATATATACGCTCAGATTTTAAAAAATCGGATTTTAATTTAAACTTGAAGTTAGGAATTCGTTAACTCCAGAAGTCATTCCTTCTGTCAGACCGAATTCCCCATTTTTGTAATCGCATTCACCAAAGAAAAGTCAGGTTGAATAACGTTTTTTAAACCTTTTTTGTCAACATGTTCCGAAGGCTAATAGTTTTCAAATTTTCAATAGAACTTGAGAAATTCATGATAAAAGTGTGAAATTCAAATTAAAAAGCGACCATTCGAATCAGATTATGTTCCTTTTGTTCAATTAAATTTATTCAATATTCAAACATGCTCTACTTGTTCCGGGTCAATGTGTTCTTTTTTAATTTCTTTACCATCAGTCCAATAAATAAATACATATCTAATTTGTTTGAGAAGTTTGCCTGTGAATCTGTGATATTATCTAGGATTCTAGGTTCTGATATTTCTTATTTAATTGTCTTTCTATAATTTTTAAACATGGTCCATATGTTCCGGGTCAATCTTATATTCTATCTCTTTGCAAGCCCAATAAATAAATAATCAATAAATTAATGCATATAATTATTGAATATATGAGAATTTCATGGATGGAATACTTCATTAAATTCGTGGGGTAATGAAGAGAAAGAAGGAGCCCTCGGGTCCCAAGAAAAAATAAATTAGATTAAAATAAAAGGAAGGAAAATAAAAATAACTCGAGATCAGAGACTACCTCGATTAATATAACAGAGAAAATAATGGCTTTCCTTCTCCCGGTTCTTGTTGTTGTTGTTCGCAGGACCCCGCGAGCCTGCTGGACCCGAGCAGCGGGAGTCTGAGTCAGCCGTGTTCGCCCAAGCATTCCGTCCGGTTCCAGCGCCCCTACGCGGCGCCCCACGACCCGGCGCCCTCGTCGCGCCCGTCGCCGTCGTCCGCCCTCCCGCGCCTCCTTCCTGCGCGCTCCGGCGCCCGCATCCACGTGGCGCCCTCTTCCGAGGACTCCTGCAAGGACTACCTCCGCATCGCTCACCTCCTCAACGTGGACCCCGCCAAAATATCCCCGCTCTTGGCTGCCTCTAAACAACAACAACAACAACAACAACTACTACAACAACAACAACAGCAGCAGCAACAGAGCAGCAATAAGTCGACGACGTGGCGAGCAGCAATTTGTGCCAAGTTGGGCGCGAATAAGTCATCGTTGTCTTCATCGTCGTCGACACTGTCCTCGTCGACGACGACATCATCTGCTGCTGCTGCTGCTGCTGCTCATGCTCCCAAACCCGAGCCCGTGTACGACACAATCCCACTAATGACGACGACAGCCAACCTAACAACCATTAACTCTTCCGCTGCCAGCACGAATCCCTTGTCCCGCGCGGACGTGCTTTCAGTCGAACACTTTCTCGACATCTTGTGTCAGAACGCGCTGTTGTCTGCTGGTGACGACAACACGTTGTCAGGCATCACGTCTCTCGTGACGACGACGTCGATCCCCGGCAAGAAATCCGGAAAGCGTCGCCACCACCACCATCACCACCACGGGGCGGCGAATGGGCGCCCTTTGCACTCCAAACTCGACGCCCTCAGCGTCATNTGAAGAATGCAGCAGCAGCGACGCGGAACTCAGTTCTTTGCACAGCTTCTGCGACGGACGCGGAGAAGCCAAGGCCAGTAAAAACGACGTCGTGTCGTCTGCTGTCAGCACTGCCGTCGTCATCGACACCGACACGGATTCCCCGGCCACCAACGCCGCCGCGGCAGCAGAAGTGGCGGCCATTGTCCTCGAGTCGCCCAAGGTGCAGAACATTGACACTTCGAGGCCCAGCATCAGCAATCATATTCACGAAAGCCACAACAATAATAATAAACCCAGGCCGTTCACGTGCACTCACTCACTGCCGACTACGAAAACGCCGCCTTCGTCCAGTGTCGTCCCGCCGCCGCCGAGTAGCAAGCGACACGCGTGTCGAAAGGCGCCTTCTGAAGCATTCGAAAACTACGTCGACGGAAGCATCGAAAAGGATTATCCGGAACTGGCGCCGAAACGTCACCGACACCACCATCATCGACATCATCATCATCACCATCATCATCATCATCCTCAAAATCAGCAAAACAATCGACAGAAACGCGGAGGGATTTTTGGCAAATGCGAGTCGACAGTGACGACTTCCAAGCAGCCCGATAAACTCCTCCAGCGTTGGACAGAGAAGCTTTCTTTGAGCAAAAATGGCAGCAATAAGTCCTGCAGTGACATTTTGCTCACTGGCAGTCCGTCGATGCAATTTGCTGACGACGCAGAGCTCGACAGACTCGACACCACTACAACCACTGGGACAACGACGACAACTAGTCGCAGTGAAGAATCCGATGACGTCTGCGAAGAAGAAGACGACGAAGACGATGACGAGGATGTCGACGACGAAGAAGGTGCGACTACTTCCGGCGTGCGAGGATCAACGACGAGTTCTTTCCTGAATTTCTCCAGCATCAGTTCCGAATTGCTGGCGAACAACGACGACGACGGCAATGCGTTGCTCATTGCGGAATTCCTGCCGAGAATCTCAGTGTTGCCACCGACGCCTCAGGCTTTCAGCCCGGACTCATGGAACGACGTCAGCGATTTGCACGTCGGTGACGGGGTGGAAGACGACCTCGTCACTGCCATCGACGAAGAAGAGTTCCGAGGAGCAGCCTCGTCATCCGGCAGCAACGATTTGAATCGACGCTCAGCTGACGACACCTGCTGCGTCGACGGATACGTCATCGCGAGATTCTCGACACTCGCTGACCTGCACACCTCGGAAACTGAGCAATTGTGCAAAACTGAGCCCGGTATGCGACACTCGACGTCTGGGGAACTGCAAACATTGACAGCTGTGAGGTTCCTCAGCAACCGAGTCCTGCTCACGAAACGCTCCATGTCCTTGGACACGTTTCACATCGTGAGCAAAAAATGGCCGGGGACAACGTCGACAGCAGCGACATCTAATGGAGACGACGAAGAACTTCGTAATGATGGCGAGAAAAAGCGAAAGAATAATTTCCACGCGGAATTTTTGAGAAGTGCTTGTGGTACGAAGCACACTTTGTCGCGATGGCTGGAAGGCAAACTGCCTTCGGGATTTCCGCGAACGAATTCGCATTTTCAGCGCAATTCTGCGAAGCATTACCTGTCTCCGGATACGTGCAAATATATGGCGAATCCTGCCAAGAAAAACGGCGATAATAACCTGGACGAGACGAAAGACGAGGGTGGCATCAAAAGCAATACTGCTGTTGACAAAGACGAATTTGACGGGAAAACGGATATCAACGATTTGACTGCTCAAGCCAGTGAGATGAAAGGATCAGAGAACAAGACTGCAGTGGTTCAGCAAACGCCGAAGATTCACAAGAAGAAAGGATTTGTGTCTTTCTTCTGGCATCGAGATTCCAAGAAAAGTGCTTCCAACAAACAAACGAATCCCAAGGTGATGGGTGATGAGAAATAAGGCTTCTTTGATCAAATAGGATCAGAACTTCTGTTGCTCTGAGAGAAGCCCTAATTTTTTTACATCTGGAGTTTCAAGGAACTCCGCGGCAACTATAACAATGTATAAATGGAGAAAATGCAAAGGAAATGAACTAAGAGTGAAACCTTGATAAATCAAACCTCCCTTTAGCCACAAACCTCACTGTGTCAAATTTTTTAAAGTCCTTGTTTGAAACCCCTAAGAACAATACAAGAAAACCCTCTAAAATAGAAGGCTTTCTCAATCAAACGTCTATAAGTAAAAAATTTCTGGAGGCATCTTGGCCCCCAGAATATTGATTTTAATGACACAGGAAAGAAGAAAGCAATACAAATTCATCTTCATGCATTTTGGAAGGAAATGAAAGACTCATTGGGCAAATAAATTCTTGCCTTCAACTTCAGAATCCGGTCAACTCATATAAAAACAATTTAAATCCCAGAATATCACCAATTACAATTTCAGCAATTATTCTTTCTATTCCCCAACAGGAATGTTTTTTTTTTTACTTCAAAACCCTCTTCCTGACTTTAATAATTTTGCTGGTTCCTCGAATTTCAACTTCAAGAGTTTCAAATGTAAATTGAAAATGCTAGCTAAATTGACTTCCAGGTTTAAAGGAAGACGTCATGTGTTCTAATCTAGAAAAAAGCTACATGGAAAATATTATAGGATTTTTTGTGCTTATGAAGGTTTATAGGACCAAAAACAATATTAACCAGAATGAATTATCCCTAAAAAATACATTCTAGGAGAGTACACGCCAGACGTAAGAAATATCTAGAATCTTTGGATATTCTAACTTATTACGAAATTTTCCGCCCATTTCTACCAATACATTTTTGATTCAAAATTTTACTAACAGACGAGAACGAAATTCTGCGAAAATCTGGATTTTTTTTCCTTTTTATATTTCGAGGAAGACTCCGGGGCCTTGTATGAATATGCTTCAGAGCCACGCTTGAGAATAAGGAAACTGATGACCAAGGAATTTATTTCCGCAGACTCTGGCTCATTGTGACAGCGTGGGAACGTCGTCGACTCAATCCTCACCGACACCGACGGAAAGAATTCCCCTGTGGTCTCGGCTTTCCTCGTCG